CGTGGGCGGGTTCTCTGACGGGCAGCTGGCGCTTGCCCTTCTTGGCGGCATCATCGGCTGCCTTGCTAGTCTCATCCCCCTTCTTCTGCCCTTGAGGGCCCCCCTTCTTCTTGGCTAGCGGGCCCCGTCGCCGACCCCCAAGCGCAGACAGCTCGTCGGCCATCGTGTGTGGTTGCTCCTGTGGGCGTTGTGTTTGTGTTTTGACGCAAGCAAGCAAGGCAACCGTTACTCAGGTGTTTGTGGTTTGTGGTTTGTGGGTGCACAACAACTTTAAACATCACATGTCACGTGTGTGTCTCGCTGTCTCACGTCATGTCATGTCACGCTGTTCTCCTCCTTTTCCTTACAGCCCACACCACACCATGAGAGAACCAGACAGGTGTAGCATAGCATCACAGTCACAGTGCAGTGTAGACCAGGCGAACAAACAAGCAAAGGCAAGAGTAATGTAACACGTGCTCTACTCTTCTTGCCTCTTCAATAACAAACACCAGAGCTGGCATGTAACTGGGTAACAGAATGACGCTTCACATTCAAACACACACGCAAGCCGTGCGTCGCCCTTCTCAAGTAACACGCCAGTGGCTGCCGCCATAGCCGCTACGACTGCTGCTGCTGCTGCTGCTGCTGCGCCCACTGCGTCACGATTGCGACCATGGCGTCGTTGAGAATGTTCACCTCATCCGGCCGCTCCACCGTAAGCGCAGGCAACTCGCCCTCCACACGCGACAGTAACGCGTTGAGCGCGTGCACGTTTGCGGTGCGGTCACGCTGCGGCGCCACCACCAGCGCGGGCCGTGGTGACATTTCGCGCAGGAGGTCGTCGTAGTCGTAGGGGAACGACGACAGCACTGGTGCACGCGCACCACCGCCAGCCCCGTCAACACCGTCTGGTGAAGAAGAGGAGGCAAAGGAAGCGGAGGAGGAGAATGAGTGGGAACTACCATCACTGCCAACATCACCACCACCATCACCATCATCACCAGTGCCATCGGCGTGATGGGTGACGAACCAGCCGAGGCGTGGCTGGAGGGCGTGCCACTCATACAGGCGAGCGTGCGAGCCCGTGGTGCGGTCCAGCGATGCGTTGCGCAGTGGCGTGATGCCGGCAACGCACGCCACGCCAGCAATGCGCGCATCAAGCGCAGCCGCATACAGCGCAACAATGCCGCCGAGAGAGTAGCCAGCGACATACACGCGGGAAGGATCAACAGTCGGGTAGCGCCGGCCACCGTACATGTCGCTGAGGGGGATGCCATCCGGGTGGTCCCCCGTCTGGTTGGAGGCAATGGCGCCGACAGCAGAGGAGACATCAGCGACAAGCCGGCCAAGCAGACTCCATTCCGCGTTTGCCGCGCGGTCGTAGAAGTGTCGCTTGTCGTCGATGCGAAGCCCAAAGGCGGCCTGGTTGTACGCGAGCACAACGTACCCCGCCCGTGCGAGTGCGGAGTACAGCGGCTCCGAGGAGTGAGGGTAGTCTTCAACATACCCGCCCTAGTGTGTTTGTGTGTGAATATGGTGCGGTTGTGCCGAGTTTGAGAGTGTGAGTACCTGTGCCGTGGGATTGTGGGATTACGAGCGCTACTGTCCAGCACAATGACAAGAACAGCTGTGCGTCGTGTGTTGTTTCTCGTATGTCATGCACACACGCACACAGTCTGACCTGGTAGGAGTATGGGTGAAGGTAGACAATGGCTGGGTGGGACTTGTTGTCGCCAGGGGACATCTGCTTCGTGTCCCAGTAGATGTTGCCGTGTACATACGCACCAAAGTTGATTGCCATGTGTGCGACGTGCGTGTCAGGATCCACGCCATACAATGAAGTGCCCTCACGTAGCATATCCTGGATGTACTCAAAGTACAGCAGCCCGTACTCCCCGCCCGGGCTCCACGCGACCGCCGGCAGTGAGGAGGTCCGACCAAGTCCATACTCAATGCGTTCGCGCCGCGCAGCGGTGGCAGGTGGCGGCGGCTGGTACGGTGTGGTCGCATTCCACGCCGCCCAATCAAACGTGTGCAGCAGCACCTGCAGCACGTCATGCAGCGGAAACAATGTCAAGTGGATGAGAGCTCAGCAAGCGCAAGTGTGCATACCTTCACACGTACACAAGAGCGCACGCAGCCACAAAACAACAAAACTCAACACGCCCACACGCGCGCGCATACATACCCTCACGCACGCACACACACACACACACACACACACACACACACACACACACACACACACACACACACACACACACACACCCATGCACACACACACCCATGCACACACACACCCATGCACACACACATACACACACACCCATGCACACACACCCATACACACACACGCACGCACACACGCACACACATACATACATACAGTCCCCATCTCTGGAAAACACACACGCGCGCGCGCGCGCGCACGGCTGCACCTCTGGAAAGTCTTTGGGAGACAGTCGCCCGCGACCGAGGGCAGTGTCGAAGAGATCAAAGTAGTTCTCAATTAGCTCAAAGCCATGGTGCTGACCCTGTCGCCAGACAACATGCAGCTTGTCCGTGGCGTTGAGGAAAGCGTACACTTTCTTGGCAGCAACATACGCCCGCTCCACGGCAAACGACGTCTCGCAGGGGTCATTGTGGGCTGTTTCACTGTGCAACGGCGCAAGGAAAGCAATGAGGACGTGCAACGATGGACCCGTGGACACGTGGATGTGAATGCAAGATTGGGGGCGGCAGAGAAGCCAATGAAAGAGCAAAGGAGGCGAAGGCGAAACGAGCAAGGGTTAAAAGTTCACCGCACCCTCATACATTCACACACACACACACATTCACACACACACACACACACACCTGTACACACACACCTGTACACACACACCAACACACACACACACACACCTAAACACACGGCACGACACAAACTCACCTGGCGAAGAAGCGAGGGGCGATGAGGGCAAGCAGGCCGTGACTATCAATCGGGATGGTGTTCTCTTTCCCTTCCAAATCCACGAGCGATGGCAGCCACCAGCAGCATCTGGGGTCCTTGGGACGTGGATCGTGCTTGTCTCGAACACACGAGCAGTTGAGGTTGTCTGGGGGACTCGGCCAGCCGCTCGACGGCGACTCGCTGAAGGTGTACGCGGAACTGAAGCGGTAGTTTGACATGGCCGGAACGCCACTGCTGCTGGAGATGACGGCCGTGATGCGCTCATCCCAGGCGGCAAGGATCATGGACTGCTTTCCGTTGCGAGAGTGACCGGTGACGACAATCTGCGACGCATTGCCCTCCGGCAGCGCACTCGCCACAAAGTCGATCACGCGAGATCCAAGCCAGGCACGGCGCGCAATTAGGCCCCAGGTTGCCGCAGGATATGCGAGGCGAAAGCCGTCTGTCTGGTCGTTTGAGTCTGCTCCCGGATACACGACGCCCACGTAGCCGCGCAGAACACCTGCCACGGCCCAGCGTCGATGGTTCGTCTGTGTCATAAACACCGGGCAGGGCTTCACTGCTGTGCAGTGCCGAACAGGCCGCAAGACCTCCACCACCACGCGCGTGGGCCTTGCCGTGGGTGTTGCATACGAGAGCTCCACAAAGGAGTCGTTCACGCCACCATCATGCGTCAGGACGCTGGACACAAGTCGCACCCCAGTGAGCGGCGGCACATGCGTCGGGAACTCCCCGTAAAAGTATTGTGTCAGTAACGCTTTGATCTCCTCCTTCCGCTGCGCGAGGGCGCCAAGCGTAGACACGGCCGTGCCATTCGCAAACTCGAGCAACGGTGGCAAGTCAGCCAGCCCGGCGTGTCCGGTCGTCGACGTGCTGCTGCAAGTGGAGGAGAGAATGGTGGATGTACACAGCAGCACCGCCAGTGTTGTCGCCACTGTCATCATCGCTGATGCGGGAGTCGAAGCAAAAAAAAAAGAGATCCCTCCCCCACGGGGAATCGAACCCCGACCCCGACGGTGAGAGCGTCGTATCCTAGCCATTAGACCATGGGGGATCTCGAAAAGGTGGGCCAACATTGCGTACATGATACAGCAGTGAGCTGTGGTAGTGTGGTTGACAACAGCACGTCAACTTGGGTGCTTCATTCCAGTTTGGTTGTTGGACCCGATGCACGCCAATTCAATTCATTTATCGCATCAATGCAAGCACCAACGAGGCTAGCATTGTGGCTCTTGGGTTGACAGCACAGACAAGCGCAAGACGACAGTAGTTGAAATGTGGAAGGGTGCATGTTGTGTAACAGGACAAAATAAAGACACAAGAGAAGCAGGATACACATTTTTCAGCCCATCAGCAACTGCGACATCCTGCAAGCCAGAAGTGCACACATGTGTGTGTGCGTGTGTGCGTGTGTGTGTGTGTGTGTGTGAACGTGTGTGTGTGTGAACGTGTGTGTGTGTGTGTGAAATACCACACGGTTGCCAACGGGCCCAACGAACTACGCACATGGGAATGATAAGCGCAACACCAACACACACACCAACACGCACCAACACCCACACACACACACACACACACCAACACGCACCAACACCCACACACACACACACACACCAACACACACACTCTCTCTCTCTCCCCTTCTATTCATCGTACACGCACTGCACACGTACTCTTGTAAGCTGAGCTTGCCGTCGCCGTTGTCGTCTGCGACCTGGATGAGCTCGTTGATGTCGGCCTCTGTGATGCCCGGCGGGTAGCCTCCCTGTTGCATGAGGTGCTTGATCTGCTTCGGCGTGATGTACCCTTCTCCACTGGTGTCCCAATCAGCAAACGCAAGCTTCAAATGTGACCCTGTCAACTCTGTTGTCTGAGTGCGAGTGTGTGTGTGTGTGAGAGAGAGAGAGAGGGAGAGAGTCAGTGTGCGAGTGTGTGTGTGTGTGTGTGTGTGTGTGAGTACCGTGATGACATGAATTATTATCAACCAACACGGACAAAGATAAAAAGACGAGTATGGACAGAGTGCATTGCAATAGCACGCATACGGCCCAGCAATCACACACACGCACAACACACACACACACACACACACAAAATACACAGGCACACCTCGAAGCCCTGAGCGACGGCGCGCAGGAATGGACCCAGCTCAAGCGTTCCTGTCTTGCGCAGGTCAAACCTGTGAATGTTCTGTGAGATCCACCACCAGTGCCACCGCCAGTGGTGTGCAGACACGCAGCAAAGGGGGAGAGGGGGCACACAGGGGAGAGACACGCGTTGTGAGACACGTCCAAGCAACAGCTACATGCACAACAAATACATGTTAACACATCCACAACACACACACACACAACACACACACACACAAACACAACATCCACAACACACACACACACACACACACAAACACAACACACACACACGCACACACACACACACACAAGAGCACGCACAAGAGCACACGCAACTCACGTCGACTGTGACGCCAAGAGCAACCAGGGCCTCCTTTGCCTCCTCCAGGCTCAGCTTGCCATCGTGATCTGTGTCGTAGTGCGCAAACATGAGCTTGCCATCCCGCAGCTGCTTGTCGCTCAACTTGTCCATCTCCACCGCTGCTTGCTGTTTGCTTTTGTTGTGCTTTTGCTGAGTCAGCACTTCATACGCCCTTCAAAATGCACCGTTCCGCCCGTTTTCATTTTCTCCTGTTGGTGTGCACGTGGTTTTTCCAAGAGGCAAGGCAAGGCAAGCGAGATGGGCCGGCGAGGCAAGGGCGCAGCCGCGTCAAGAGGAGGAAACGCGGATGCAGAGGAACAAGAGCCAGTGTATGGCCGCGTGTTTGGCGATGCGGTGAGTGGACACACAAGCACTTGGTGACTTGGTGTGACGTTCCACGCACTGCGCTGTGTGTGTGTGTGTGTGTGTGTGGGTGTGTGTGTGTGAATGTGTGTGTGTGAATGTGTGTGTGTGTGTGCCGACAGCACGACGAGGACGATCTCGTGCGCACAGATATCCTCGACTACCAGGCACTCAGAGAAAAGGTGTGGTGCTGCATGCTGTGCTTTTGGTGACATGATGCGATGCAATCTCGCTTCTGCAACTCACACTTCTTTTTGTGTGCCGACAGCACGAAGGCAGGCGCCCTTGCTCGCCCCTATCACACACACACACTCTCTCACTGTGTCACTGTCTCTCACACGCAACGCACACACACTCACACTCTCTCTCACACTGTCTCACTGTCTCTCACACTCACACACGCAATCTTGCTCTCATTTACCACCATCAGGACCCCGGTGAACGCAATGCCTCGAGTGATGAGGATGACGACGATACCATGGCCGTGCTGGGCCTGGACCGCTACGACGAAGGCGATGACGAGGATGAGGACGATGAGGACGATGCTGCTGCAGATGACTACGACTTTGGCGGGCGCGATGAGGACGATGGTGATGCTGCTGCTGCTGGTGACGACGAGGATGACAGTGACGGCCGCGCTCGCGTGGATCTGGCCATGCTGCGCGAAATGGGGGAAGACCTGCTTCTGCCAAGCAACATGGACTACATCAACAAGATGGCGGGGTACAACCAACACGGCGACATTGTGGACCGCAAGAACGCCGAGGCGAAGCAGGAGGCGTTTCTGAACCGCTGGGGGTCGAACAAGCAGGTGTTCTACGGCACCAACTACGTGGACCACGACTTCAAGCACAACGACGAGGAGCTGCAGGAGGCGAAAGACGAGGAGGTGGAGGCCCTGCGACTGCAGAAGCAGCAAGCCGAGGCAATGGACGAGGGCGACTTTGATGCGCTTCTGCCTGCAGCTGTCAAGGAGACCGGCGTGGCAGCACAACAGCAGCAGCAGCAACAAGGCGCGCATCCGCTGGAAGCGCTGGACGACCAGCCCGTCACCGTGGAACGCGACCTCTCCCAACTCACACAGAAGCAGCGCATGAAGATGCTGCGCAAGGCTCTTCCCGAGCTCGCCAGACACACTGCATTCATGCAGCAGCAGGTACAGCGTGTGTGTGCGGTGTGCGTGCGCGTGCGTGTGCGTGTGTGTGTGTGTGTGCGTGTGCGTGCGCGTGCGTGTGTGTGTAGTGTGGTGTGCGTGTGTGTGTGTGGTGTGCGTTGGCTGTGGTCTTGCACGGGCATGCGCCTTTCAGCGGTTTTGAGCGTTGCTGTGGTCTTCCTCCCTCCCTTCTCTCTTCCCCACCCTCCTCTCTCACTTGTAACACATCACCCCTACATTGACCATGCTCGCTGCCTCCCTGCACATCATTCTCACCCCAAGACTCCCAACCCCCTTGTTGCGCCAGGTTGTGCGATTGCGGGAGGTGCTTGAGCCGCTGCATCAGCGGATACAGAAGCTGTCCAAGGCGGCCGAGTTGCCGCAGTGGGCAGAGTACGTGGTCTTCCAGTACAAGCTGGCCACGGCCTACACAACCAACGTGCTGTACCTCATCTATGCGCAGGCCAAGGGCACGCTGCGGCAGTCGCACCCGAGCTACACGGCGTGCAGCACGCTGCGGACGGGTCTGGAGGCGACGTCGTCGGCAGCCATCGACGAGCGGCTGGCACGCGTCATATCCGGGGACGAGGACGCGGAGGAGGAACCCGTGCCCGCAACAGCGGCAGAGGCGATGCTGGCAGAGGAAGAGAGCGCAGAGGAGGAGGAGGACGAGGACGAGGAGGGAGGACAGGATCTGGACGAAGCCGCCCTCAACAAGGCGGCACTCAAGCTGTACAAGAAGGCAGCAAAGCTGGCAAAGGACAAGAAGAAGCGCAAGCAACAAAAGTACGTGTCTCTGTGCTTGCGTGTGTGTGTGTGTGTGTGTGCTTGTGTATTTACATGTGCGTCGAATGACGTTGCCTTTTCTCCTCCTCTTCTTCTCTTTTCTCCTCCTTTTCCTTCTCTCCCCTCCTTCTCGTCGTTCCTCCTCTTCCTTCCCTTCCTTCCCCCTCCCCTCGCTCCTTGCTCTTGTCCCTTCCCCTCCTGTCCCTCTTCCCCCCCCCCTCAATCACGCGCACTAGTGTTGCCCGTTGCGTTTTCTTGTCACATAAGCTTCGGGGGTCAAACGTGCGCAACATTGACTGCCATATTTTTTCGATGTCGGCTTCGCGCCAGTGCTGTTGCGGCCTGCACACTTGTCTTGTGTGCTTGCCGCGCCTGCTGCTGCTGTGCTGTCTCACCAGCAGCTATCGCACTGGCGTGTTGATACTCCTCTCTCCCTCTACTCTTGCTTTTGCGAGTTGTCCTCAGTGCGTGATCCCTTTTATTTCCTTCAGCTCCCCTCTTCCCCCCTCCTTTCCTTTGCTTTGACCATTTGGCGTTTCATTTCATCTCTTTACTCACACACACACACACACACACACACACACACACACACACACACACACACACACACACACACACACACACACACACACACACACACACACACACAGGCGGGATGCGATTGTCAAGGCACGGCTTGGGCAGGGCGAGGACGGGGCGCGCGCCATCACGTACGCCATCCAGAAGAACAAGGGCCTGCTGCCGTCGCGCAAGAAGGAATACCGCAACCCGCGCATTCGCCAGCGCAACAAGTACAAGCGCGCGCAGAAGAAGCGGCGCGGCGTGGTCAAGGAGGCCGTCAAGGAGATTCCAAAGGACAGCGGCAGCCGCACCGGTATCTCCAGGACCACCATCAAGTCAACCCGCCTGTCGTGATCACAGCCACGCTTGCTGTTGTTGCTGGCGGTGGTGGCGGCATTCTTTTATTTTCTTGAACCTTGACTTATCATTAAACGCCGTAATCGAACATGCCCTTGTATGCACGTAAGCAGGCACACACACACATACACACACACACACACACACACACACACACACACACACACACACACACACACACACACACACACACACACACACACACATCCAACTTGCGTTTATGTTTTCTAATGATTGCCAAAATTTTGGTATGATTCTGTGGTCTAGTGGTGAGGACGTTGGTCTTACACACCAAAGATCGCCGGTTCGATCCCGGCCAGAATCACTCGATTTTTTTTTGTTCTCCGATTTTGTTGGCTTCTTGGGTGTTTTTTTTTTTCTTCTTCTTGCTTTGTTGCTTTGCGTGTTTGGCGCCACTGACCACCACGAGAGCGAGGCAAACCCACCAACAACCAACGAACCGTGCACAGAAGCCAAACAACAACCACCAACAACAACCAACCACCACCAGTCTTCCACTGCACTCCAAACCAGACATGGGTGACACGGCTGACGCGGCGACGACAGTAGCGACAACGAAGGCAGAGGTGCCGGCGGTTCCAGCGTCACAGAACGACGACCAAGATTCCACGGCTGAGGCCAAGAAGGAGGTGCGCGTTGATGGCGAGAACGGTCACGATGAAAACGACAACAACAACGACGATGACAAGAACGACAAGAACGACGACAGCAACAGTGATGAGGATGACGATGATGTGCCCCTGTTTGAGGCCAACTTGATCGTTCAGGGCAAGCGGGAACGCAAGAAGCCGCAAAACCTGCTTGAGCAGCTGAGCAAGGAAGCCAAGACAAAGAAACCAAAACAGAACGAGCAAGGTCAGGGCAGCGCAGAGCCGCTGGGCAGCAACGAGGTCATCGAGGCGTTCCTCACCAGGCACAAGGCCGACCAGCTCACGGAGATCCACCGCTTCTTGTATGGCAAGCCGGGCACCCGCAATGCACGCAAGAAGAGTATCCGCGAGTTCCGCGGCTTCCCGGAGGACATGCCAGACATGCTGCGCCAACGACGCCGCGACCATCTTGCCAAGAAGCCTCTCAAGGTGCTCAAGGACCTGTGCCAAGGCCTGGACATTTCCGTCACAGGCAAAAAGGACGAGATCTTGGACACCATCATGGAGTGGGCCAGCAACCCCAAGCCCTCCGGCTCGGCCGCGGGGCTGAAGAAAAGAAAGAAGAAGGCCGCGCGCAAGGGGAGCACCAAGGGTAAACAGCAGAAGAAGGCACCTGCCTCGTCCCCGCGCACCACGTCCGCCAAGCGCAAGAGCACGGGCGCAGCCAAGGAGCCGCTGTCTGCGTTTCAGCTGTTTCTCAAGGACTCCATCGCCGCCTACCGCCGCGACAACCCGGAGGCGAGCATCGTGGAGACGAACCAGGCCCTGCGCAGCAAGTGGGACGGCATGGCGAGCGACGAGCGCCAGGCGTACGAGGACGCGGCCGCACTGGAGCGGCGGCTGGCCGAGGAGGCAAGCGAGTCACCAGCGAAGAAGAGCAAGGCCACGACGCCAGCCAGCAAGCGCGGGAGGAAGGCGGTGTCAACCAAGGGCAAGCGCAGCGGTGGCCCTGGCGGCAAGAAGGCGGGCGGAAGGAAGGCAAGCACAACGAAGGGCATTCGCAGCACGCTCTCCAATGAGCAGGTGGTGAGCGATGACAGTGATGTGGGTGAGGAGGAAGAAGAGGACGAGAAGAAGCAGACCAAGGAAACAAAGTCCATGGACGAGGAAGAAGATGGTGATGCTGAGGGCGATGATGATGAGGACGATGATGATGAGGACGATGATGATGAGGGTGACGATGGGCAAGAAGCCAAGGAGACAAAGCAGGCTGGCAAGAAGCAGCAAGCAAAGGCGATCAGTGATGATGAAGACGAGGAGGAGGACGAAGACGAAGACGAAGACGATGGTGGCGATGGTGATGGCGGCAGCTCACCCACCGACAAGCACATCCGTGATGCGGTGTTTGAAACGCTGAAGGGCCATGATCTCTCCACCATGACGAAGAAGAAGGTCAAAGCAGCCATTTCCGACAAGTTTCCAAACGTTGACTTGACGGACAAGACCGACGTCATTGTCGCCGCCATCACCGACTATGTCAACGAACACAGCGCCTGATGTGCGCGCGTGTGCACCCATGTGTTGTGTGTGTTGCGTGGGGTGTGTCTGTGTGTCTGTGTGTCTGTGTGACTGTGTGTGTGTGTGTGTGTGTGTGTGTTGTGTGTGTCTGTGTCTGTGTCGCTTGCACTTCTCGTCCTCTTGTGTGTGATTCGCACTGCATTTCTTCCTGCTTGCTTGGTTTGCGCGCGCGCGCGTGTGTGTATGGTTTTACGTGTAACCCGCATCAAGGCTGAGATGCTCTGCTCTGTACAAGCAACTTCGACACGCGCACGCAATGCCATACAACCAGCAATAACACGCATTGCATTGAATTGCAATGCAATGCGTACAGGCAATCAGGAAATAGGGATGAAGCGCAACAACAAGGGGGAACACAGAATAACAGCAGCACACACTCCCTGCACAGTCAAGTGATAATCTAACGAAAGGAACAGGTGGCACACCTCGCATCATGACAAGCATGCATGTGTCGTAACGACATGTAACATGTGTGTGGCACTGTGGCATTGGTGTCGACAGCATGTACCGTTGCGCCGGAGCAAGCCGCATCACATCACATCACATCACTTCACTTCAGGTCAGCTTCTGCATGAGTTCATCGCGCTGTGCAGCCAATCGCGCCAATGTCGCCTCAAGCTGGCGTCTCTGCATGTATGTGTGTGCGTGCGTGTGTGTGTATGTGTGTGCGTGCGTGTGTGTGTGTGTGCGTGCGTGTGTGTGTGTGTGTGTGTGTGTGTGTGTGTGTGTGTGTGTGTGTGTGTGTGTGTGTGTGTGTGTGTGTGTGTGTGTGCGTGTGCGTGCGTGCGTGTGTGTGTGTGTGTGTGTGTGAAGAAAGGCATCAGGAAAACAAACAACATTTACTCCGCCCCTCCCTCCCTTCCGTATTCAGACTCTGTGCAAAAGGCCACAAACTCAGCACATGCGTGTCGTGGGCCCACACCTTTGTCTGCTTTGCGCGATCAGATGGACTTTGAACGGCGGTGGCTCTTGGTTCCAGCGCCGTGCGCAGAGAGGATAGAAACTCCTCTTCTTCCCGCTGCATTGCTCGCACGCGTTCAATGTCGCGCTGTAGCTGCTCGGGTGTGTGTGTGTGTGTGTGTGTGTGTGTGTGTGTGTGTGCGTGTGCGAATGGAAGGTTCCGTGAGTTGTGATGTTTTCGCAAACAACAAGCACCCAAGCGGCACAATAAGCCAAACACACACGCACCTTTGACTTTCGTTCTGCGTGTGCCTTGAGAGTGGCTGTTGTGGCGGACAGAGATGACACGGTTTCGTCGTGCTCCTTCTGCAGCGACTCAACGCGCCGCCGCAGTGACCCAAGCTGCAACAATACGTCAGGTGGGGTGGACGTGGCGAGGTGAATGTGTGTGTGTGTGTGTGAGTGTGTGAGTAAGTGAATGAGTGAGTGAATGAGTGAGTGAATGAATGAGTGAATGAGTGTGTGTGTGTGTGTGTGTGTGTGTGTGTGTGTGTGTGTGTAAGCGCACGTCATTTGTTCGCACACCCATACACACACACATTCACAGCGCGCAAGCACGCATGTACTGCTTGACAGAAAGACAAGGCTTTGAGTGCCCACCTGTTCGTCAACCATCCGTTGGGTGTCGCCAAGTCGCTGTTGCAGCAGAGCGCGTTGCTCCTCCAACTGCTGTGCAATCAGCAGTGAATACTGCTCATGCAAGCAGGCAGAGACACGAGACAGGAAGAGATGAAGGCATGCCCGCTTGCTTGCTACGCACAGAATGCAGACAGAGATAGCACGCAGATACACACATATACAACGCATGCCCATATAATGTCCACAAATACGCACACCTACACATACACACACAAGTACACATACGCACACTCACATACACATGCACACACTCACACTCACATACACGTACACACACAAGTACACATACGCACACTCACATACACATGCACACACTCACACTCACAAACCTCGAGCTGGAGGGACTCCTGTTTCTCGGCGGCGCGGGGATCGACGACATCGGCAGCCTCGCTGGACTGAACAGCGTCTGTCGAGCCAACGTAGGAGTCTGATGATGGGCGCGAATGTGCCATGGTAGGCGATGGGAGGCAATGAGAGGGGCATATGAAGGTGGCAGGTGGCTGCTAGCAAGCACGCGCGCGTATTCACAAACACACACACAGCTACGCACATACACACCTTGCTTGTAGTCCCACACTCGACCGGTGTCCAGTTGTCGTACGAGTGCGTGCGAAGTCTGGAGATAATGCCTGACAACACCAAACATGACAACACGAGCGTTAGTGACGGCAATGCAGAAGACCACCACCACCATCATTATCATCATCATTATCATCATCATCATCATCATCATCATCATCATCACCATCATCATCATCATCATCATCATCATCATCATCGTTGATGTCTCACAGCCCCACGAGAAGAAAGGAGCACGCGTGTTGGGCGTACTCGAGCGCGTGTTGTCTTGACTGCGCTGCGGCGTTGGGATCAGCGCCATCCCACTGGCGCCGGCCACAGCCGACAAACCCGCAGTTGAGGCACATCCATAAGTTCTACACGTCAACATGCGTGCATGGGGGTGCAATAAGAGACAACCAGAAGCATAAGTACGGGCCACACACGCACATATGCACAGCACGCACAAGAAACGCACACACGCACACACGCACACGCAAGTAAAGCACGCACACACACACACACGCACAAGAAAAGCACACACGCACACATGCACACACGCACACGTCCACAAGTACAGCACACCTTGGTTGCGTGGCACTGGAGGCATCGGGGCTGATCGTCAAACATGACTTGTGTCTTGCGACACACGGGGCAAGTGGCATCCACGTACTTGCGCAGGCATTCTGCATGGAAGCTGTGCTCGCAAAACGTGGTGGCCACACATTGCCGGTCATCCCACAGCAGCTCCAAGCAGATGGGGCACCGCTCCGCCCCGGGCGCAAACGGAGACTCGCGCTGCAGCAGGCGATGCTGCTGATCAATAACAAGGCCGTCTCCTCCTCCTCCTCCTCCTCCTCCTCCACTGCCCCACGTGCGTCGTTGCTGTGTCTGTGGCTGCTGTTGTTTCTGATGGGGGTGTGGTGTGTGAGCCAGCGCTTCAGCGCTTGGAACGCGCACGTGCTCCATGTCAGGCTGTTCTTGATGTTGCGACTCCTGCGTGTGCCGCATACCTGCTCCCTCAGTGCCACCAGCCTGTGCTTTGCTGCCCGCTCGCAGTGGCGTGGGCCGCTTTGGTTCCCTCTCGCGCGAATCCTTTGCTGATTGCTGCCTGTGCTGCTGTGGTTGTTGGTGTGCTGGGGCGCCGGTGACTGCGCCGATGGTGACGGTACATGGTCCGTTCACCAGCGAGGAGGCGGAAAAGTCCCTGTAGTACTGCAGGAACGACTGGACCGGTGCATCTGCCTTCAGCACCACACGCACATGGGCGCTGTCCTCCCGAATCGCATCGGCAAAGATGATCCGCGACAGCGCATAGAACCACGGCGCAAGGTGGGTCAGCACATCTGCACTGTCCAGTACACCATGCAGCAGCATGTCCACATGCACCATCGTCGTCGTTGTCGTCGTCGTTGTTGTGGTTGTGGGGTGTCATCAATAATGGACACCAGAGTGCACGACGTTTGAGGTGCATCATAAATAATTTTCGCTTATGAATGCAGGCAAATTCAAACCACCAAACAAACTGAAGCAGCGAAGATGTCGTCGCAGGTGAGTGAGGGCTTCCTTCGTTGACGGGCGAGGGATACATTCAACGTGTCTTCTTGCAGCACACAGCGTGTATGATAGTGACGGCCCAGCATCACTTGTTGTCGAAACACTTGCCAGCTCTATTGTGTGCTAGCACAAATGCGCGCGCTTTTTGAGTTGCTCACACATGTACGCCTGCACACACACACACATGATGCACACACACACACACATGATGCACACACACACACACACACACACACACACATGATGCACGATGCAAGGGGGAGGTGCCAAGCAACAACGCCGCTGGGTCCACGTCCAGCTCTGAAAGGGGGAAAACCAAAGAGCCTGAGCTCATGACAAGCCTGCCAACAATGTGCCGAGAAGACGCATGTATGGTTATGTGCATGTACATGTGCGCACCTGTGTATGTGTGAGTGTGTGCACCTGTGTATGCGTGAGTGTGTTCACCTGTGTGTATGTGTGTATGTATGTGCTTGTGTGTCTATACGTGTGCATGTGTGTGTGTGCATGTGTGCGGTCGGAAAACATCATCAACACCCTCTTGGCGCCAAAGTGTCCACGTGCACACCAGCCATAATCTCACTTTGTGGGCGCCTGCTATGCTTCGTTCAATCGACCCGCCCTTCTTGCTTTCAGGCTGGCGTTCTTGCGCGCGCATATTTGCAAGCAGCAACAGACGAGTACAACAACCTTTTGAGGGACGCTCAGCTAGGCCCCGACTCAGACTACTGCACTGATGTCGAGCAGATCAAAACAATCGCCGCCAAGTACAAGCTCAAAGCCTCTCCTGTGTCACCAAAATCTGAGGCGCAGCAATATGTCGACAGCGTGCTGGAGGAGCCCTACACGGAAAACATCAAGAACCTGCTCAAGCAAGTCCGCAGTGTGCTTGATGAGAAAAAGACGCTGACGCCACAGGTGCCCTTGAAGGTTGCGGAAGGGTTCCTTCTGGAGCTTGACAATGTGACACGCAAAGGGCTGTCCGAAGAGCAACGGCAGTTTCGACAAGGTGCGCCTGTCTCACTCTGCCTTGCATGTGCGGCTGTGTTACCAAATGAGCTGATGCTTGTGTGTGTGTGTGTGTGTGTGTGTGTGTGTGTGTGTGTGTGTGTGTGTGTGTGTGTGTGTGTGTGTGTGTGTGTGTGTGTGTGTGCATCGGTGTTGTTAGATTACTGCGAGCGGCCCTGCGCTTGAGTGCTCTGGTTGACTGACACGTTGCTGGCAGATTGTTTTGAACTCATATTGGCTGTTTGATGTGGTTCGTGGCAGATTTGAAGTCAAGCGTAACCCCCAGCAGCGCTGCCAAGGAGAAGGAGAAGAACAAGGACTCGGCCCACAGAACAGTCTATGCGCAGCCGTTCTCTGCCGAGCTCTTGTGCCGAGACTGGCACCTGCACAACGAGGGGTTTCAAGACGCAGTCGACGAGGGCACAAACACGGGTAAGGTCGTTGTCGAGCATGTGATTGCTTGCTGTGTACACGTGTACATGTGAGCGTCCTTTCCACGAGAGAACGTGGCATGTGTGTGTGTGTGTTTGTGTGTCGGTGCTGATGCATGATGGTTGAGTCTTTGGCACTCGTGCGCGGGTGTGCTGGCACTGAAAGGGAATACCTCTCTGTCGCTCACACCGACGCTGCACCATGCATGCCCACCGCACTGCAGGCTTTTCTGGCGTGTTTTGCACGCCGGAGACGCGGTTCAACGACCGCATGCAAGCGCCCCTCATCAGGGCGTGTGGTGATGCAAAAGTGGACGTCAAGAGTCACGCATCATTTGAGACTGACCCCGCTGTTGTCGCCGACTATGTTGTGCGTCTGATGTCAAACCTTGACTTCTACCCGCTGTTGATTGAGCTCAAGACCGATGGCAGCGAGCCGACGCAGGATGCTGCCAAGGCGCAGGTGCTGGAGTACGCATCACGGGCCATCAAGTCTGCGGGGCCGCAGTGGCGTAAGTTGAAGGGGTATTTGTTTCCCTTTGCCATCACCGTCTGCAACGATGAGGTGTCCGTGTACGCGTGCACGCTGGGCGATGAGGTGCACGGCCGCGAGGCCTTTCCCAGCATCCTCCACACAAAACTTGGCGACACCAAAGTGAGTTGCCACCGCATGTGCGAACAGTGAAGGGGGGGTGTGCATTGTGTGTGTGTGTGTGTGTGTGTGTGTGTGTGTGTGTGTGTGTGTGTGTGTGTGTGTGTGTCGCACACATGATCCTGCACGTGCATCTGTGCAGTTGCTGTCGACTGGCTGTTGCCTTGTATACTGCTAATTCTCGTTGGACGCTGCGCTCACATTGGTTTCCTGTGCTGTGGACTTTAGTTGGAGAAACTCGGGAATGTCATTGAGTGGCTGCTTGACGAAGAGCACATGGCGCATTACGAGAAGATTTCCGCCATTGCCCAGGTACCCATAGCAGGAGTGACTTGATGCCCACTTACTCTGTTGTCTTCTTGTCTTCTTGCTGTCTTGCTCGCTTGCTGCCTTGGTATTCTGCCATCATGGTACACCTCGCACACACACGCATATGCACACACACAAATCCTGTGTGCGTGCATGTACCGTCTTTCTTTCCTTCAACAATCAACAATGATACTCACTTCCGCACTCGCACACACACACACACACACACATACGCCATGGCACAGGGAAAGGGGAGCGGTCTCACCTCCATTCGGGAGCACGAAGACGACGATGTGTCATCCGCGGCTGACGGTGGTGCGAACAACACAAGTAGCAACGGCGGTAGCAGCGGCAGCGCTAATGGGGATGTGCAGAATGAGGAAGAGCGCGACAAGGCAGCCACGCACACTGACACAGCAGCCAGAGGCAAGGACGGGCAGCAACAGCGTGCAGACACCGAAGCAGCACGGGCGAGGTCTGCCAAAGTTGCCACGAGATACAAGATGTGCGTCTACAAAGGCGGTAAAGATACAGCAGCGGTTGCAATGGTGAATGGCAAGATGCTGAAGGTGTGCGGCGGCCACCGCATCAGTGCTGCTGAGGAGGCTGCCAGGGAAGTGAAGGGCTGGCAATTGCTCTATCCACACAAGAAGGTGGAAGTGTACGAACGGTCACGCCCCGTCTTTGCCTGTCCCGATTTGTCACAGAAAAGAAGGAGCAATCGCAAGAGCACCGACGGCAAGAAGGCGCTTCATGGCACGGGTATCAAGGACAAAGCGGGGCTTGCGGCCGCTGCTGAGTACCTCCTCCGCTTGTCGAAACGGGATCTATGCCACTGCGACATACGCTCGCACAACATCCTGCGCAACGGCTGCATCGTCGACTTTGGTTTCCTGCGCGAGGCGGGTTCGCAGCTTCCCGAATCTTATTCCACGAAGCTGCGGGAGCGCCCTCGCAAGTGGCTGCTGCATCACGACGCAGAAGCGATTTCTGCAGACGTTGTTCTGGATTGGGAATCGCTGCTGTTTGCATACGTATTCTCCTCTACTTCTCTCTCCACCGCCATGTACCGGTTGCTTGAGGGCAAGGCGTTCCTGTTGCAGTGGCTGGAGGCCAAGTTGGCCAAGTTGGACAAGAGCGACGACCAGACACCAGCACTGCAGGACAAGAGCGACGACGATGACAAGAAGAAGGAGACAGCAGCACTGCAGGACAAGAGCGATGATGAGAAGAAGAAGGAGACAGCAGCACTGCAGGACAAGAGCGACGACGACAAGAAGAAGGAGACAGCAGCACTGCAGGACAAGAGCGATGACGAGAAGAAGAAGGAGACAGCAGCACTGCAGGACAAGAGCGACGATGACAAGAAGGAGACAGCAGCACTGCAGGACAAGAGCGACGATGAGAAGAAGAAGGAGACAGCAGCACTGCAGGACAAGAGCGACGATGAGAAGAAGGAGGAGACAGCAAAGCTGCTGCGCAACATTATGCAGCACATTGCTTGCGCGTACTTCTGAACTTGACGTGTGGGTTGAGTGGACTTGTGTGTGTGTGTGCGTGTATGGTGTTGGTGTTGGTGGGTTGTGTGCTGCTGTCTTTTCTCGTGGTCTGTTCTTTTCCTGTTTTGTCGTTGTTGGTTGAGTCTTCCCTCAACCCGGCCCCCGCCCCGTCACTTCTTCTTGGCGCAGGGTGTTGTTTGTTTATCCTCGCATCACTGCGTCAACGGCTGGTCTTCATTCAAACAGGGCAAGCAGTCATTAAGTCCTTTGAGCCTCCCTCTCGCGCCACACACACGATACGTGCATGCGGTGTCGTCAACAAACACAAACACACACACTCAGCAACGGTTAGCAACACCAACCAGTGCACCGGTGCCACATACCGCATGACAACAATCACCACATCATCACCAGATCACCGCTTGACGTGGTTGATGTAGCGGGCAGCAAGGAAGGAGAAGATCCAGAAGCCAACAGCATAGCCCACAACAGCAAAGAACGCCGCCCAGCGGTTATCGTAGTCGAGGCCAAGGAAGTCCTGCACATAGTTGGAGACGGTCACCTCCTCAATTCCGTCAGGCGTGACCAGGTCAATGGTGGGGCAGGACGTGGCGTTGCCGCTCAGCATGCTGCTGTTGCCGGTGCCGGCACCGTCGTCACAGTAAAACTGGGGCACCACCAACGCGTTCAGGCCGTACTTGATGAAGTTTGCGTGCCAGATCCACCTGTAGCCATCCGGCATGGCAGGGCCGGGGAGGAAGAGGCCGCCAAACAGGAAGGAGACGGACATGACGGTGGAGGCAGCGAGCGTCGCCGTCTCCGCTGTCGGGAACAGGTTGGAAAAGAAGTGCGAGATAAACACCATCAGGAACGCCAGCACAATGTGCGTGAGGAAGTAGAGGATGAGGGTGGCGCCGTCCAGACTGAGCGATGCCATAAAGTAGAACACGCACAGGAAGCACAGGCTGGACACGATCAGGTACGGGAACTCCGCCAGCGCCATGGCAATGCTGTGCATCCAGCCAGCATACATGTTGGCCGCACGCTCGCGCGCAACCACAGCACGGAGGCCAACTGCAATACAAGGGAAAAGAATTGGGGAAAGGACAACACGAGCGTGAGTGATGTGAATAAAGCCAAGCTGCAACCGTAAACACAGCAGCTGACACAACACATACACTCACTCACACAACGCACACACAACACAAACACTCACTCACATACAACATACAACATACACACAACCCACACACGCATGCACAACACTCACTAACACATAACCTACACACATACATACACACACACGCACGCACAACACTCACTCACCGATGACTGGGATGGCTGTGAGGAGATTGATAGCGCCGGAGAAAATGGCTGTGGAGAAGAGGCCGGCCATCTTGGAGACAACGCCAGCCAGGTCATCCTCTTTCACACGCAGGTACAGCAGGCCAAACAGGAGCCCAAGCCCCGTGATCACCACCAGCCGCGTCAGGTTGTAGTCCACGTTGCGCCAGGACGCAACAAACGCGCGTCGCATGACGAAGGACAGCTGCACGCGGCTTGTTGCACGCATGCTGGTTTCGTCCACAGACTCGGCCTTATCATCGGCACTACCATCAGCAGCACGGACCAGCACGTCAATCTGCCGGCCCACGCTGCGCCGCAACTCGCTCTCTTCGTACATGCGCGGGAAGTCATCCGGGGACATAGGCGGCAACGCACCATCATCGTCAGCGCTGCGGCCGACAGCACTGTTGACAGCACCACCATCACCACCATCACTGCTGCCCGCCGTGGTGTCCTCGCCAACGCCGGCACTGCTGGCGCCAATGACATCCAGCATCCACGTGGCCGGGTTCACGTGCTCGTCCTTGGGCAGCACACCAGGGATGGCCTCAAAGTAGGGTTGCAGCTTGGCTGTGGGCCCGTGGAACACGGCGCGGCCGCCTTTGGCCAGCAGCAGCAGCTGGTCAAACATGGAGAACAGCTCGGCGTTGGGCTGGTGGATGGTACACACCACCGTGCGGCCTGTGCGGGCAACGTTGCGCACGACGCGCATCACCACCTCTGCCTCGCGGCTGTCCAGCTGGGAGGTTGGCTCGTCCAGGAACAGGATGGACGTGTTTGCCACTAGCTCCACACCAAGGGTCAGGCGCTTGCGCTGGCCCTGCGACAGCCCGCCCTCCTGGCCAGGCGATCCGATGATGCGGTTGCGCAGGTGCGACAGCTCAATCAGGTCCATCACCTCCTCCACAAACACCTTGCGCTTCTCCTCGGGGATGCTTGCAGGCAATCGAAGCGCAGCGCTAAAGTGCAGCGCCTCCTCCACCGTGGAAAAGGGTTCGTGCAGGTCGTTCTGCTCGCAGTAGCCCACAAGGCGCGCAAACCGTGCCTTGGAGGGCACGGTCCCGTTGACGAGGATGTTGCCCAAGGTGGTGCCACCCGTCTTGCGCCGGGCCAGCACATCAAGCAGTGTCGTCTTGCCAGCGCCGGTCACGCCCATGAGCGCTGTCAGCTCGCCGGCCCGCGCGTACCCGGACACGTTGTTCAGCAGCCGCTTGGTGGTCTCCTTCTTGTGCGTCTTGTCCTTCTTGATTGTCACATCGTAGCAAAGGTCCTTGAACACGAGCGACGCTTCTTCAAACGGCAGCGCGTGCTGGTCCCGGCTCACGCTGCCCAGCCCGTTGCTGTTGCTGTTGCTGTTGCTGTTGCCGTTGGTCCTGCTGTCGGTGTTTGTCTCGTCGTCGAGGGAGGAGAGGGATGCTGCAATGCTGACGACCGTGTCTGCGCGCTGGCCAACGCCCTTGTCGTCCGTGTACGACAGGTGCGGGTTTTCGTCGTCCTTCTCCTCCACCCGGGACGTGCCACGGCTCGTGTCTGGCTTGCCACGGCTCAGCACCCACACGCTGAGGGAGACCATGATGACCAGGTACACGAGCAGGGCAAGCACGCCGTACCACTTCCACGCGCCACCAGACTGCAGCTCGTACGACTCGAGGTACAGCTCGCCGAGCGTGGGCGCGCTGGTGCCGTTGTGGGCAGCGGCGGCGTAGCGGTCGCTCTCAAACTCGTTGAGGGCGAGGGAGCGGATGCTCCAGGAGAAGGGCGAGATGTAGTAGATCCAGATGAACCAGGGCGGGATGTTGGCGCGGGTGATCATAATGCCGGAGAAGAGGGTGAGGACGGCGTTGGCGGGCCCAACCATGACCTGGCCAGCCTCCATGGAGGGCACGGCGTAGGAGATGATGCGGAACATGGACGCCGTGCTGAAGCCGACGAGGGTGAGGAAGAGCAGGAAGAAGAAGAACCGGTCCACCTCCTCAACAAAGCCGGACATCCAGTACACGCCACAGGAGAAGATGATCGACTCCGCCAGGGCGAGCGGCAGGTGCACGAGGTTCACGGCAAGCGTGTAAGCGGCGGTGGAGTAGAAGCCGGCGTGGTATTGGCGGTAGACAACGTCGCGCACGGCCATGGCAACGGGCACCTCAGCCATGTTGTTGAAGGCAAGCAGCGTGGGGACGAACAGCAGCAGGCCAACGCGCAGCTGAAAGTCGGCAGTGCTCAACTGCCAGAACAGGGACCCAAGAATCAGCGACAGGAACAAGCTCTGCACCAAATGGGCCCTGTGGTGAATGAGGGAATGAGGGAATGACGTGCAGTGTGCATGTGTGTTTGTATGCAACAAGATGAGTTGCGGCGCTAAAACCGGTGCTTAAAGCCCTTGAAAGAAGACACGAAAGCAAGGCAAGCAGCCACCCAGGCACATCCACACGCGCACCCACACAAGCGCGCACACACGCACACCACACACACACACACATATGCAAGCGCGCATATCACACAAGCGGTTCATCCACACACGCACACACACACACGCACGCAGACACCAACGGCCAACGTACACTAGGAACTGCGGGTCACGGCTCATAAGCCGAAGCTGCCGCTGCACGCTAAGCATAAGGTGCTGTCCAAACGACTTTGCGTACGGTCGGCCATACTGCGCCTTGCTGAACTCGTTGGTGAGGCGACCGCTGTCGCTGGTGGCGGGCAGTGACGCGCGGCGATGCGCCTCCAGGTCAGCCGCCACCACCTCATATGCCTTACGCATGTGCCCGGTGGTGATGGGGGTCGTCATATCGGGAGACACAATCTTGCTGCTGCGCCGCCTTTTGGCAAACGCCGTCTCCGCCGAAGTTGCGGAAGCAACTGCCTTGGCGTTGGCGTTGGTGTCGGAGGTACCGGAGGCATCGCCCTCGATGGCCGCCGTGATCTTCAGCTGCAGCCGCTCGTCCTCGTGCTGCTGCTGCTCCTGCTGCTGCTTGTGGTGGGTCTTGTGCTCCGCACTGTACTTGCGCACCCACTTGCTCGGGTGCGTGACAATCTCTGTGACAATGTCTGCCGTGTCCATGGGCGGGAAGTAGAAGCCCAGGTCCTGGAAGAAGGGGCGCAACCGCTGCTGGGGGCCCGCATACACCACCTGGCCCTCCCGCAGCACCACGACGTTATCGTACATGTCCACAACCTCTGGCGGCGGCTGCAGCATGGTGGAGACAACGACACCGCCTGTGAGGTGCGCCCACGCCACGAGCGAGCGCGTGATGTCGATGGTGGTGGAGGCATCGAGGCCCGTGCTGTACTGGTCGAGCAGGAAGCAGCGGGCGTTGGTGACAAGGAGCTCGCCAATGGAGACACGCCGCTTCTCGCCACCACTCACGCCGCGAATCAGGTCGTTGCCGACGATGGTGTCGGCACAGTTGGTGAGGCCGAGCAGCCGCAGCACCAGGTCCACCCGCTGCCGCGCGTACTCCTGCACGAGCTCGGAGTCGGCGGGCAGGTGCTCGGTGACGTTGGCGTTCTGCGCAGCAAAAGTGAGGGTCTCGCGCACGGTGAGCTGCGGCATGTGCACGTCGTCCTGGCCAACGTACGCCGCCAGGCGCGGCACGAGGGCCTCAGACTCCTCCGCTGTGCGGCCGTTGAACAGCACCTCTCCACTGTTGATGTCCAGGATCCCTGCAATGGCCTGCAACAGGGATGTCTTGCCGTGTCCTGGGGGAGCGAGAACTAAGGTGGTGGTCCCTGCTGGAAAGGAGACGGAGACGTCGTGCAGGCGGTAGATGGAGCGGGTGTCCTGCTTCTTGCCGATCGCTGCCAGCTTCTTGATGGCGGCCCAGGCGTTGCGGGCGACGGTCGGGATGGCGTGGTCCTCTTGGGCCACGGGCACCTCCACCGTGGACGTGACGCCGCGCAGCTCAATGTTGCAGGCCGGCAGCTCTGGCATCTCCTTGGCGAGGCGACGAAGCAAGGCGCGGTATGACACTGGCCCTTTGGAGAGGCGCAGCAAGCTGTCCACGGAGGCGTTGTGGAGCTCCTCGAGCTCCTGCTCCTGCTCCTCCTCTGTCTCTGCATCCCGCTCACCTTGGTCGTCTTCGCCCGGGTCAATGCGAGGGGTGCTGGGAACGAAGTCGTCCACATTGATGATTTCCACTTCACCCATGTCAGCCATAGCTGGATGTGTGTGTGTGTGTGTGTGTTCTTTGCTTGCTTGTCCACTGGCTGCTTGGGTGAGTCTTCAGTGTACACTACACGTGACCTGTCTGTGCGAGAGAAATAAATGAAGCCAGCAAAGTGGCTATGAGCCAGGAGCGAGCGTCTCCCTGTGCTGGAACAAGTGAAGCAAGCCAAGCCGTTGAATGTTGCTGTGACAAGCACACACGTGGCGGTGGTGGTGGTGGTGGTGGTGGTGGTGGTGTGGTTGCAGCCTGTTGTTCAGCGCAAGAATGACGCAGTGCATCACGAAGTTTGGGCGGCGCATCATCTGACCGCATGGATTGTTGTGGATATCTTCGTGTAATATTCCGAAATTGTTTGGGCAGCCAAAGTTGGCTCGCGTCATGTGATGGTGTGCGGCGTGGGCTGGTCCGGCGGATTGTGTGTGTGTGTGTGTGTGTGTGTGTGTGTGTGTGTGTGTGTGTGTGTGTGTGTGTGTGTGTGTGTGTGTGTGTGTGTGTGTGTGTGTGTGTGTGTGTGTGTGTGTGTGTGTATGTGTGTGTGTGTGCGTGGAATGACGGAGAGTGAAAACTATGTAATGTTGTGTAACATACAGAATGCCAACCCAAAGGCCACCAACCACAGGTAAACAAGCGGAATGCACAAACAAACGAGTTGACAAGTGATGCTGTTGTTTGCTGCTGCTGCTACGCATGCAGGCCAATTAGCTCGAAAATCTTCGGCACAAGGATAACTGCTGCCAAGCCAACGCACTATTCGTGCGTGCGTGCGTGTGTGTGTGTGCGTGTGTGTGTGTGTGCGTGTGTGCGTGTGTGTGTGTGTGTGGCGGGGGGGGGTGACAAGTGTGTGAGAGGAACCGCGCGGTGCATGAATGTTTGCAAAGCCATCCCCCTCGCTCACACACAGGACAAGCGCAGTTGCGTTCGAGGAAACTCACCGAGTAACACACAAACTTTGTTGGAACGTCAATTTCATAGCGGTGTTCGGGCTTCTTGTCCGTTTTGCCAAGCAACCGAAGCAGCAGCGTACGCATCGTCGT